TTTGAAATGTGGTGTTGGAGAAGAATAGAGAAGATCAGGTGGACGGATCGAGTGACCAACGAAGAAGTATTGAGGAGAGTCAACGAGCAAAGAAGCATTCTGCAGGCGATTACACGAAGGAAAGCTAACTGGCTGGGACATATTATGAGAAGGAATGGGTTACTGAGTGATATCATCGAAGGCCACGTTGAGGGAAAGCGAGGACTGGGAAGAAGACTGATACAGCTAACCGACGATCTGAAGCAAGGAAAGAAGATGAAGTTCCAGGAATTAAAATGAGAAGCTGAGAATAGCGAAAACTGGAGAGCTCTTTTTGGGCAGAGCAATGGACCTGTCGTCAGACAGAACACTGAATAATAATTAACTTGTCTGCTAGAGCCATCTAGTAGAGAATAAGGAGAGACATGGGTGAGAAATGGCCGTTGAATTTTGCTTATGAAACATCTCATTCATGCACAAAAGGTTCTTTTACATGCCATAAATCTACGAGGGACTGCCCGCTTTACTTACCTTCCAAAGGAAGTTGTGCTACGGATTTTTACCACCCTTAAAAATCCATCAACCTCAGCCAGGTTTGAACCTGCGAGCCTTGGGTCCAGTGGCAAGCTCATTCACCACTAGTCCACCAAGGGCAATGTGTGATTATAACAGTATACTTAAATTCCATATGCTACAAAAGAATGTTACAATATCTTAAAAAATAAAGTAACAAGCACTCATACACAAAGGACTTTATTTTTATATAGATGCACGTATGATATATAAAGAGACTTTGGTACAAATCACTTTTCCACATACTTGTCACAGATGTTTAAGCATTTGTCCTACCATGGTATGGAAGAAACTGGTGTCAAGTGTCTTAAGCCAGGAAACGGCAGTGTGCTGCAAGTCACCATCAGCTGAAAGCTTGAGACAGGTGTGTGAAGGTTCTGGACTACACACATCTCTTCAGACCCAGAAAAATGATATGTACCAAAGTCTTATGTGTCATACATGCATCTACATAAGAATAAAGTCCACATTGGAGTGCTTGTTACCATATTTTTTAATATATCAACAGGATGTCTATGTTTGTAGGCTTAGCATTCCAATCATGAATTATACCTACATATAATACTGCACTCACTGTGGACACAGGCGAGCCAATTCCTTGGCTGCGGCTCTCCCCTCCCTCAGAATCACTCTCTGTAGAGGGTGGTGGTGGTGGTGGAGGTGGTCTTGGAGGCGTATCTTTGGGTAATGGTGGAATAAATCTGCAGTTATCATCTACAGGCAGTAAATTAACAGCACTCTCTGCAACAAAACATGATCATATAAGAAAAATCTCTAGTTTTATATTTGAAACTAAGCAGTAAGCATTCCAGTTTACATGTTGCAGAAGACTTGACTAATATGTCCAACAATAGTAAAAAGAATTTACTAATACCAACAAATTTCATACTGACTTACCATATATGTACAGTGCAACCATGTCAGAATGAAAACAGCTCACAAGAACTTCATTACAGTACATCAGTATCATCAAGCAGTTAATGTTACATTTGTGGGAAGGTCTGCATTAAAGGACATTCAACACATACTTTTATCATGATGAACCTGATTCTTAACAAACCACGATGTTCGTACCTTTTTGCATTAAATGTACTTGCAGTTTTGTTTCCCAAGCCATTCATTTATAACTGGCAGTCAGAAAAAATACTGTTAACTCAGCCTCAAGTGCTGTCCCTATCAAGAGGAGTCATAATAACCTTTAGCCCCTTCAATAAGGGGATTAATCACACATACATGTGTGTGTGTGTGTGTATGTGACAGCAATGTTATTATCAACTGAAAAAATTAGTCTCCTTATCAAATACCAGTTGCCTATATGAGTGTATTTTGACAGGAATACAGCAAAACAAGACAGAAAATTGGAAATCAATTAATGAACAGAAATTAAATCATGCATTCTATTGGAGGGCTATGTGGTTCTGTTGTATGTGACCCACACTGCCCTTTCAAAATGAACATGAGTAACCGAGAATTTACTCTTCCATATCTTAGACCAGCGTTTTTCAACCTATGGTACACGTACCGCTGGTGGTACGCGAACTAAGTAAAAAAATCAAAAGGTAATATTAACATAAATAAGTTTTCCCTGAATGTATTTAGTTTGTGGTACACTTAATGTGTTAAACTAGAATTAGTGGTATGCCAGTGAAAAAGGGTGAGTACCCGTCCTAGACCATGATAAATGCCCGTACCATGACATTCTTACCATGACACAGAGACCAAATCTTTCCTTCACCCAGTTATAGATCTTTTCCAATGGTTCAGATGTTGTCAACTGGTCAGAAAACTCCTTGACATGATACTAATAACTTAACTACATACAATGCAATACAAGCAGTATTTCTACATAGTCTGTTACTGTCTGTATGGCAACCAAACAGCAGTAAACTGTATTGCAATATATTTAATAGGTAGTATTTTAATCATTTTCATATATTATGAACACCTGTTAGAACAAGCACTTAACAGAATTTTGTGAACTTTCATTATATCCAGGTTACAATGCATATTTCTAACAGACATCTACAAAGGGTCACTATGACAGGTGACTTTGGGGGACCACCACAAGCGTGGGGAATATCATAACTGCCTAGGTAGGATCTGAAGTTGTCATGGCATTGAGTATCAAAAGGGCTGTCTTCTAGGATGTTGCAAGATTAACAACAGTCTACTTTCACTAATTCCAAGCTTAAGACCACGATATATATTTTCTGTCCTACTCTCCCACATGCGCACAAAAATGTGATTTTCATTTGAACCCACAGCCACTTTATTTAAATGAAATATAACGTGCTGGTACACATGCAGCTATTTAACATTAATTTAAAACTTAATATTTGTTAAACTGGGACATTTGGAGCTGCACACTGTGTACAATTCGAGAATGTGTATAATCACATAAAATACTGAAGAGAACTGCATGTGGCCTTTAAGTCTGACAGGCCTGTTTCAGCATAACACCTATCAACCAAATCATTCCTTAGCATTCTGTGATATTGCATATATGAGAGTCTGAATGAAATGGTGAATAAAATCCTGTAGCACTGAAAGTAGATATTAACTTCAATGTTGTGGCAGCCTCTATTAACACTAAAATGAGAGACTTGAATAACTAGATATAAGACAGTGAATTTAATTTTTTATACTTAGACTACCAAAATTCATGCAACTTGTGTCCAAATACTCAATGAAGTAAGAAATTCTAACGTTAACATATCATGGTAAAAAGACTGAAAAGAAAATTCATTAATACATTTATCCAAGAACATGCAAGGGCTGCAAAGAATGAATGTTAAAAATGAATTATTACCTGGAGTTTCATCAACCTCCATGTCTGCACGCGTGATATCTTGGTCTTCCAATTTAGTAGGCGCACACGCAGTATTTGAAATAATACGTGGTCTTTTATATGCACGTACAGAATTTTGGCTCAGCTGTGATAGCATTCGTTCTTTACTTTGCTCATATGTCATTGGTGGACACTCATGGAATTCAAAATCCTAACAAAAGATGAACAAGTATTATTAAACCTCTGTCAATTAGTATTGGAGCATTGTAAATAAAGAGCAAAATTAATGCTTCAGATTCCTTCTGCTTCTCTATGTAAGCTTCAGTTACACATGATCCAAAGGATATTTAAATCTGAAAACAGATGAAAGATAGTGCTTGATCTTTTGTGTATCTCATAAAAAAACAATTCAGTAACACAGATGAGGGTGAGGACTTCATCAAAGTAGATCAGGATAAGCTCTTGTGAACGTGTTAATGAATCGTCATACTCCACAAAAGACAGGAAATATCTTGATAGCTAAAACACACCAACATTCTCAACAAAAGGGCATAGTTCCATGGAAATCAGTTTATTTCAGCAGAATATTAAGAATAAACTCAAAAAAAGAATGCTAGATGTTTCTTCCAAGTAGAGACTAATCCAAACAGTATATGAAGGAAACAAAGATTTCTTAAGGATTGAATCACAGCATATAAGAACATAAGAAATGTTTGTTTCACTGACTAGTATAAGCAGATTGGTGTATGAACACAAGTCAAAATGTTTCTGGCTGGTAATAATTATTTTAAGTGACAGAATTTTAAATTCAGTGTTTCATTTTAACAGTCCTTCCTTTTCCTGTTACAACCTATGGCAACGCATGTTTGATTTTAAGTGGGCTAAGTGCATATATGCACAGAAGGTTAACACTTGCCCAGTGGGGAGCAGACATATATGCACACTTCAGAAAAAATACTGTTTCTTAGTGGGCTAAGCCCATATGTGCCCGCTATTTTTCTGTCATGTCTCAATCGAGTGTTCTACCATCTAGCGAAAAAAATTTAACTCAGTGGTGTTGTTCTATGTGTGCTTAAACCAAGATTTGGATGGCAGGGGAGTAATAGGCAGCCATGCAGGACAGAACAGTAGTTTTTGGTGTAATTATTTTCTCATAACTAATTTTATAGAATTGCAGATTATTTCTTGAACTATGTGAACAGGAGGTCCCGCAAGACATTGATAAGAAATTATCATGAATTACTCCACTGAATCCAATGGAAAAAGCAAGTGAAAACAAATTATAAATGTTTAAAAAATGTGGTAAAATTGTTAGTATAATAGCTAAAAATTTAAACACGAAAATTTTGATTTCCATATCTAATAAAAATGAATTGTCCACAATATATAAAAATTCACCAATATTTTTAATAAAATAAAAAATCCCCACTTGGTGATGCAATGGCATAAATTTCACCCCCACTCAAGAGATTAACACTTTTTGCAGCTAACCACTTAACATTTTCATCACCATTCAATGGCATTCAAATGAGGTAGGATAATTTTTTTTTGGCACTCATCCATTCTGTATCCTAATAGTATAACCAATCTTGTTTCTGCATCCATTCTTTCCTTATTGTACATCTCTCACTTAGTCTTTCCACCTGATCCTTGCTCTCCCCAATAACAGTTCATTTCAGCATTTGTCAAGCAGTGATATGCACATCAACTTACGTCTATATTCAAATTATGATTAACATTTATATTATAGTACATTAATGCAACTGGAAACATCACTATTTTGCAACTAGTTCCTTTTTCATTAATGTTAATTTCTTTAGTTTTCTTTCATGCTTTTCTACTGCTGAATGGTATGAACAGCAGAGTGGTGGGGAAGAAGATGCAGAATTTTAGGTTCACTGCACACCTCACAAATGGGGAAGCAGAGCTGTTTTACAAATCCCAGATTTTTTAAAGACTGACATGTCAAACAACTTGAATTATTTTAGATTTTGCTGCGCATATTTCTTAATTGTGAATATTCAATGTAAAAAATTATAGTCACTCTAGTTTTATCACCATATAAAAACACACTTTTCCACACCATATAAAAACACACTTTTCCACACCATATATACAAATAACAGGTTGTTGATTCTCGGCACTACAACCCTGTTGTGGGTTTTTGCCGCCTCCTTTACGGAGGTTTCTTGGTCTTGGTCGTGTGTGAAGTAGTAAGTGACCAGCCCACTGACACAAATAATAAGTAAATCTGAGATATACTATTGTTTATATTATAAAATAAAGGACAGATACTCATCCTTAGAAAATCCACCACTTTACAAGTTTGTGAATGAGAGAAGGCAGAGACCCTGTGATTTATTCTTCTTTATTTTTTATAGTCAAAGGAATCACATTGCTGTATATTATATTCAGAAACTTCACATTCAACACTCTAGTGTTCATACTTTCCAAATCTTGTCCAATAAACTGATGCCAGATTTGATCCCTTCTTGTTTGCATCCTGTAACTATCTCAGAATACAGCACTGCATCATCGGCAAGTTAGGAGCACACTATCTAAAGTAGGGACTGATTGGCCTCATAATGAAGTAATGCAAGAACATAGTTTCAGACACCACCATACTAGCTCATTACAAACCATGAAAAAGACCTAATTCTTCACTGAAGCTGCAGTGGGCTCAGCAGACCAACAAAGGATTATCTAATTGTTTTTTGGAATAGAAAAATTTACATCATGACTGAACTTTGCTGATGCTGAAAGAATGTACTGCAGTTAAACTGTCTGTTCACCTACATTGGAAGTTCATGAAAGCATGTGGTCCAGCATTACCTCACCACATCTCAAGAGTGCAAGGTTTAGATACTATTCTGAATAAGGCCTCTTTATTGCCAAAATGTTTCACTCATGGCAGATTTATGACTGCATTTTGACACCCTCAAATTATTTTTTTACTTACCTAATTTTTGTGTTCCTTTTTCTGAGAACTTAAATATGTCTTTTAAATTATAAAAAGGTCATGAAGATAATATGATGAAATACAGATATTAAAAGGACACAAACAGAGAGAGACATATAAAAATGTTAATATGGTCATTTCAAAGTTAGTAACTAAAATAAAAAAATATTTAGATTTAAGAACAAATGTGAAAACCTAGGAAGGTAAAATAAGAAAATATGTCAACTGTATAGGTATAGGATTTCTGGCCTATTTTCCTTACTTTATAAGGAAACTGAGATAATGTTGTAATGATTGTCTGTAATGTACCCACAAATAAAAAATGATCAATCACTATAAAACTTCATGTGAACACCATATCACTGGTGAAAACCTGACATTCATAGTTTTAATTCATTACCACTATCATCCTGGGCAACTACGTGAATTTCCGACACAGACATTACAATAGCATTATTTTATACAGGTCCACAGAAATTTCTGTGGTTCTACAGCTTGAAGAATATGCAGTTTTTGTTAAGGTCATGTTTGTGTAAATATAAAATGGAGCAAGAAAACATTTTATATTTACACAAAAATTAACTAAACAAAACTATAAAACCTCAAACATTTCTGTGAACCTGTATTAAATTCATTCTTAGTCATAGATTAACATCCACCACAGTTAGTTTTGCATCATGACTGTTCAAAACACATTCCCATTCTGCATAAAACTTCATAAACACTACAGCATGTGTAAAGTTTTGCCTGATAATTCTTGAAACCTTCAACAGTTTCACCTATGTACAACACGTAAAAGACTCAAATATGCCCCTTCCTAGAAATAATTATTTTATCCTGTTTTAGCTGAGATTTGTAGAACCATTCATATGACTGTCACTTCTTTACTCTGTGTTCTATGTATAACAAATGACAGTTTATTGAAATTACTTAGCATAAAATGGAACACCCAATTCATATTGCTTAATTTAGGTTCAGATAACCTGGTCTCAACAGAAACCCTAATTGAAGATTTTCTCATGTCCTTATATCAACCAATTAAACCAAGTTTTAGATAAAATAACAAATTTCTCAAACATTATCCATTGTCATAATTTAATTAAAAACACAACCTTTCATGGACTGAAATACAGTTCCATCATCAGGCAATACCTACACTGTTACCCGGTGTCCTACGTGAGCGATTAAATGCGAGCGGTGTGAGTTGCGTGGGTAAAGCGCAAATATCAAACTGGCTGTTTGTGTGGCGCTGTCCTATGTTACAGCGAAGCGGTCAGCGGCCAAAGCCCAGATCAAATATTTTGATATTTTCGCGCAGGTCGCTGCGCTGGCCAGTAGGGCGCAAGCGCAGAAAAGCTCTGACTGTGCAGTACAGGGAAGGCGCATGCGCAGAAAAACCGTGTGCTTCTATAATGGTCTCTCACGTAGGACACAACAAGCGATTCCCTTATGTCATATGACACCTCATTCTGCTTATGCAGCTCGCTTCTTATTGCTTACGTAGGACATTGCCTTAGACCCGATCACTATCTCTGCAGATAAGGACTAGCTCTATTGACTGGGCTCACCACAATAGGTTTTATCTGACGTTGGACACAGATTCTAGTCTCCAAAATTTTTTTTTTCATTAAAAGTTTGTTATTTTAACAATACACCAACATCACAAACCTCCACATCTAACTTAAATTTGAGATACTTACATCTTTTGTGCTTGGACTGCAAGGAACATTAAAACCAGGATAGCTAATAATTTTCTTGATGTCATATTTATCTCTTGAGCCTTCAGGAATTATTTCTCCTTCCTCTGTTTCTAGATCAGGCACTTCTGCAAAATAAATAAATTTATTAAATTGACATAAACACCAGAAAATTGCATTGACATAGTAATGATATTTTAACAACAGAAATTTATAAAGACAAATTTACCACCAATAGTTTAGCACAACATAAACATATACAATGTGGAGGTGCTCCATGGATTCTCAAACCTGAACATTTATGAAACTGTGATGAGATTCACGCATTTGCCACCTAGATCCTATGAAAATGTCCTTAGTGTCCAACAGATCCTAGCCATTCTCAACTTTTTAATAAATACAGAGTATCCCAAGATGTATACACATTACAATATGAAAAATTAACCTTGTTGTTGATATCCATGCATTGTGTTTATGCACGGAACCTGTGTTGTCTATACTTAACAGATCTAGGGCCTATCTTGACAACACTTATCCCAACTGATAGATTGGATGCAGAGGATCTGTTGAGTACCCCCATGATTGCCAGATCTAACCCCACCTGACTTTTTCTTGAGAGGAATTTGAAGTATGTAATGTACAGCACAGAGCCAGCAACACTTCAGGATCTAGAGCAAGAAACTGAATGGTCTTGTGCAGCCATCCCAGCAGAAACTTTAGTGGCCACTTGTCAATCAGTTGCTCACCACTATCGACTGTGCCACGAAGGTAATGGTGGTCATTTTGAACACCTACACTAGATTCGCTAATTCACAAAGTGCTGATGGTGTATGCAATGGTTTAGTTTATTAAAATACCTTTATTTCATTCACTGAATGTGTGTACACATCTTTTTGAAACACAATGCATAAAAAACTGCCAACGCCAAGAATGATATTCATGCCATTCAGTCCATAGCCAGACTTTTAAAAACTATAGTCATGTCATGTCCTGTAATTAGCGAAACAACGTGAAAGATTGTCAGAAAGTACATCACCTGAAAGAGTAAATGTACTCATGAAGCACACAAAGGTTTAACAGAAGCAATTCCATTGTAACAACTGTGAAAAGCAGTGAATGTATATGCTTAATTATATTCAACCAAGTTCTTAAGTATGATTTGAGGTTCTTATAGCAGCATGTGTGAAGATGGTTGTCTTCTGAGTTGTAGCACCATGTAGCTGGATAGACTTTTTGAGTAAACTCATCACCCTGTTGATGGAGACAGCAAGAACCTCAAATGCTGGTAAACTTCTACAAGTTTACATACACAGTGCGGCAACTGGAAAACGGGACTGGTGTTATGAGGCATGAACTGGTGCTGCCATCCACCAGAAGTGAATATGAATCCTAAGAGGGATTGTTCCTAGAGTGCTATACTGAAGGTCATCATACATTGCCACCATTTGAGAACGTAGTGTGCGCTGAAGTAGATGTCTCTCTTGTGTGTGTGTTGTGAAGCAAGAACAGAACAAAGAGCGAACATCAAATTTTGTGTTCGGCTGGGCAAAATTGCCACAGAAACGTTTTGAATGATAAAGCAAGTGTATGGAGATAATTGTCTGTCTCATACACGTGTTTTTGAATGGCATAACTGCTTCCGCCATGGAAGAGAATCATTGGAAGATGATTAACATCCTGGCCCAGCAAAAATGACCGATGTGAAACGCTTTGAATGATTTCAGAGGATCTGTGCATTAATAAGGAAACCATTCGACAAATAATAACTCAGGATTTGAATAAAAGTAAGGTCTGTGCACGGTTTGTTCCACATTCATTAACAGACGATCAACAACAGCTCCGAGTTGAACACTGCAGGGAACTCATCGAGGCCACTGAAAACAAACCTAACATCCTGAATTTGATCGTTACGGGTGATGAGATGTGGTGTTTCCAGTACAACCCCGAAACAAATTGACAAAGTGCGGAGTAGAAGTCAGCAAACTCTCCCCAAGCCAAGAAAGTTCACAAATCAAAACAATGATAATCATTTTCTACGATAATGGGAATTGTGCACAAACAGTTTGTACCCAGTGGCCAGACAGTTACTGCTGCCTACTATCTGGAAATTTTGAAATGTTTGCTTCAGAGGATCCGTTATGTACAGCCTCAGTATCGAGAAGATGGCAGCTGGTTCCTGTTGCATGACAACGCGCCAAGCCATAAGGCTCTCAGTTGGGGAGTTTTTGGCCACCAAAAAAGTCTGTGTATTGTCACATCCACCGTATTCACCGGACTTAGCACCACGTGACTTATTTTTGTTTCCAAAATTCAAAGCACCACTGAAAGGCTGTTATTTTGATGACGTGGACACCATTCAAAGGGCTGTAACGAGAGTACTGAACAGAATTCCAGACACGGCCATCCACCATCCCTTCCAGTTGCTTCATGATCGTTGTGTGCAGTGTAGATGCAGGAGGAAGCTACTTTGAATAAACAATGCTCAGATTGCTCATACATGGAACCATTATTTTTTTTTTAGCATCAGTCCCATTTTCCAGTTGCTGCACTGTGTAATGCTACAACCCACAAGACAGCTATCATTACACCCAAATTTCTTGTCTCAAAAAGGGTGTGTTCATAGATACTTATTAAGCAAAAACGTAACAATGAAAACTAATTTTACATCAGTTTTAAGGTAACAAAATGACCTGATATAAAATACATACAAATATTATTAAATAATGGTACAGTATAGTTTCTTCTTTTTTGGGTTCTGAAGGTATTAAATAACCGAAAAAGCTTTACTAACTTGTAAAAGGTACTGACTGAGGTGGATTGCACTGCAGAAATACAGAATATACAGAAATGTGTTCCTTCACACATAACATCCTACATTTTTCAGCATGCAATGAACTTCACAGAGTAAATTGCATTTTAATGCACAATTAGATGACTTACTCCTGTGACTATGAGCCGGGATAGCTCAGTCAGTATAGTGACTAGCTACGGGCTGGACGACCGGGGTTCGATCCCCGACGGGGGCAGAGGATTTTTCCTCTAGCCTCTGCATCCAGACCGGCTCTGGGGCCCACCCAGCCTCCTCTACAATGGGTACCGGGGTCCTTTCCCGGGGGTAAAGCCGGCCGGGGTGTGATGCTGACCACTCACCCCCATCTAGTGCCGAGGTCAAGGAAGAGAGGAGCTATACCTCCACTCACCCCAAACGCCTACATGGCGTATAGTGGGACAAACTTTACTTTACTTTTACTCCTGTGACTACAACTTCCAATTCTGAAAATATGTGAACCCCTTCTCCACTGTCAACTTTTGGAACTCATATATATGGCGTGTGTAAGTTTTAGGTTCAAGTATGTCAACAAGGCTTTCTCACCGAAGCTTGCAAGATAATAATTCCAGGATTATGAGGTACTTTGGTTACAGACATTAAAGAATAGGTATGTTATGTAAACTGAATGCATTTATCACATCTACAGTCTAAGACTGTAATCTTGGGACTTGCGGGGTGAGGAAGTGGGGTAAAGGAAGGAGGAGGAAAGATAACGTCAGCCTTTAACGCTTCGGACTTCCTGCATTCCTTGCAAGTATCAAGATTACAGTTGCATACTATACACTGCACAGACAGTTTAATAAGTTATTTTCTTGAAAGCCTTGGTGTTGTTCAATGTTTACAGATAATTTGTTAATGGTACCTACAAGAAAAACTGACAGAAAATTAAACAACAAATACTACTGAAATTACTTATAATTTTCATGTTGCAATATGAAGTTGGTACAGATCTCCGTATTCAAAAAAGACCGAAAGAAATAATACTTGCATGGGCATGCTGACTGACTCTATGGTGCAACAGCCCGAAGCCAAGCCTTGGCCTCCTCCCATGTGGGAGGTTTCTTTGTCTTTTGGAGTGTGCATTAATGAGAATTGAGTGACAAGCCCACTGCCTCTGCACAATTTCTACTCAATCCTGATTTGCCTGCTAGAGCCATCTAGTAGAGAATCAGGAGAGACTTGGGTGAGAAATGGCCGCTAAATTTTGCTTACGAAACATCTCGTTCATGCTCGTAAGGTTCTTTTGCATGCTGGAAATCTACGACATGGGACTGCCAGCTTTACTTCCCCTTTGAAGGAAGTTGTGCTATTGATTTTTATCATCCTTAAAAATCCATCAACCTTGGCCAGGTTTGAACCCACATGGCCACACTGCAAATATTATTTTAAACAATTTTAACTTTGACAAGTGGAAATATGTTTCCTTGAGGAAGCACAGACACTTACCCTTTCCCTTACAGTCATACAGTGTGAGCCCAGAGTGTGATATCTTGGCATCCTCCATCCAACCAGGTGGATAGCCCAGAGTTCTCATCTTGTATATATGATTTGGAAGCTGATGCTTGGCCAGCCCCAGTGCCTTCCTCAATTTGTTACTGATTTGACCAGGAACAAAAGAAGCAAACTTCTGCTCGTCATCCAAGTGATAACGACTAGAAAGCAGAAAGCAACAATCTCAGACAAACAATATGACTTCATCATTCACAGTAAATACTGCACACATCTGTGATATTAGAAATAATTTCCCTGTCAAGTTATAGCAGTTTCTCTTAGCATATAGTCATCTGTACCTACTGTTTCTTTCAGATTATTAAATATGGGAACCTGTATAGCTCGGGCAGTATAGTAAATGGCTATAAGCTAAATGACTAGGGTCAGATTACTGCAGGGAGAAACATTTTTCTCTTCATTCTGATCTCCAGACTGTCTTTTCTGGCCCAAACAGCCTCCCCTTTAACAGGAACAGAGGACTGTATCCTGAGAAAAAATGACCACTCTTCTCGATCTGGTGTTGGGATAAAGAATGACACACACTTTCAAAAAGTGGTGCTTAAACACAGGAAGTTATCTTCATCCTGTAGTGTGTAATTAAGCTTTTAGACATTATCTTCTCAACTAAATGCAGTTCATAAAATGATGGGTTAGCACAAGGACAATTTTAGTACATTATAAATTAATTATTTTCAAACTGTGTCATGTGGACAATGGCATTAAAAATTCAGATTTCTACCATGGTAAATCTACATACAATTAAAATCCAAAAGCTCACCCTGTCTCCAAGTAAACTCTTTATATTGTGATATAAGAGCTTGAAAAATAATAATTTTGTATATTTTTACAAGGTAAAAATGGCAAGACATGTGAAACTTCAATTCTTCTTCTTCAGTGGCACAACAGCCCGAAGTCAAGCCTTGGCCTCCTACCATGTGGGAGATTTCTGTCTTTGAAATGTGCATTTATAAGTAGTAAGTGACAAGCCCACTGCCTCTGCACAATTTCTACTCAATTCTGATTTATCTGCTACAGCCATCTAATAGTGAATCAGGAGAGAATTGGGTGAAAAATGGCCATTGAATTTTTCTTATGAACATCTCTGTCTTGCTCATAAGGTTCTTTTACACGCCATAAATCTATGACATGGGACCGCCGGCTTTACTTCCCCTCCAAAGAAAGTTGTGCTACGGATTTTTATCACCCTTAAAAATCCATCGACCTCAGCCGGGGGTTTGAACCCGTGAACCTTGGGTCCAGTGGCAAGCACGCTAACAACTAGTCCACCGAGGGTGACCCAAGTTCAATTATCACCTACTATTTTACACTGATAGCCATTTCTGTGAAAATGTGACAGTTGCAGTTATAAAAAACTGTTTCAAAAATAACTGATTCAACAGGACATGCTTCTCCCTACAACATACCACCTCAACTGTGCCGAACTTCCACATGCTCTAACTAGGTCACCCCTCCCACAAGTTGATTTCTTAACTTTCAATTTTATATTTTTGTTTATATTACACTTCTGCTCAGTGAGCTATTTTTTTTTTACATTGAGAGATCAGTGTAATTACATTTTTTTCTGCAGTATGCTGCCACAAAATTCAGTTTTTCATATTACAATAAAAGTAAAATGTCCTGTATGTTGCACCCACCATAATAACCACGCACTCAAACTATATTTCCAATATTCCGCTAATTTATAGTAAGAAAAGCAGAAACACTCCTTTAGTTTCAACTTGTTAACTTCCTTTGCCTATCTCTGTTAAGTATATACAAGAACTGCCCTGTTCTCTTTTATTACCTGGAACTTTCAGCTTTTTTCAGGTCAAAAGGGTTTCATACCCAAAAAATGTATGTTAAACACTCAAAAACCCATGTCACTGTCCACCACCTATAACTAGAACTACAGCATCACCAATTTCATCTTCTGTGAGACAATAATAAAAACTAAGAATACAAATATACTTCTTAAGATGACTGTTTTGGGTTGTTGCCCTGTGTAGTCTGGCATAAGTTTACCAACATTTCAAGGTACTTGCTGTCTCCATTAGCAGGGCAATAGGTAAAATATATGCGAGGAACTGGCATGATATATGGAAACCAGTTCATATTTATTACATACTGTAGATTTTTATTTGTTTGGCACTTGACTTCTTATTTACCACCCACTCCTAAAATGTGTTAATATTTATTTTCCAGTATTACATATTACAAAATACATAGTGTGTGGAAAAAATGGTGCATAACAACAATGGGAATGAATACAATAGCTCAAAAAAAAATATAAAAGGAAGAATTCTCTAGGACTCATTCCAGAAATATGAAAGAATCATCAAATTAGGCAAAAGCCACACCAGTAATAAATAGCACAGAAATTAGTGGTGATGCTGAAAAAAAAGGCAAACTCACCAAGACTTGAATAACTACAAAGAGACTGCATGTGACACTCATAAACAAGTGAGTTAATACAAAAGAAAAATGTACATGAGGAGAATGAATACTTCACACGCCAGGATAAATAACACTTGAAAAGTGTACAACACCTGGCAACACAGAACACACCAGATACACAACTAAGAAGATGATAGGCACAGGGTGGCACACAAAATGTTTACCCATTTGTTTTGAATTTCAAAATTATACCATATGAGAAACAAATTTAAAACTTTGGTGGCAAATGCAGCAGTTCATGAGAATTGCTGTAGCTGGCAGCAGAACACATTGCAACCAGAGATCCAGTTGTAGCAAGTCATTCTGTAAGATGGCTGACTGCCAAACAGAAAGCAAAAGTTGTGTTGTTTTTGTGGAAACAAAGAATGTTACTGTAACACACGTTTTTGTGCGCATTTCGGCACCAGGTGGGCTCCTACTAAACAAACAATACACAGACTCCAGACACAGTTCAAACAGGAGGGTTCATTGTTGGAGTGAGACAGGCCTCATGCTCCAAGCATTCTTATTCTGGAGAACATGGAAGCCCTCAGAGTGGCAATCGATGAGAACAGCATCAGTGGAACTGGGGATTTCACAGAATTCAGTTCAGTGAATTCTGCACTCAGATCTGCATGTTTCCGTACAAGATTACTGTGATGATGTCTCGGGTTCGATTCCCGGCGGTGCCCGAATTTATAACTCGTGTTGGGCAAGGCCGTGGTCTAGGCAACACGGAGTTTTCCTCCGGGGGCTTCCCCGGTTTCTCCGTGGCATCCCAACAATTACTCCATTCACACACAGAAGGCAATGGCAAACCACTTCTGGATCATCTGCCAAGAACGTATATGAACAGGTCCCAGTCCGAGAAAAGGATGGAAGGATCCTGTTCATATGGACCTGTCATCAGACAGAACACTAAATAAATAAAATATAAGCCTGCTGACCATGACAAAGAACAGAGGCTGCATTTTGCCACTTGGGCAAAACACAAAGAGGTTATTCTCCACAACACTTGGTTCTCTGATAAGGCTCATTTCTATTTGGATGGAGCAGTTAACAAGAAAAATGTTTGATTCTGGGCCACAGAACATCCTCACCAGTTTCACGAGATATACAAATGTGGTGATAAAATTACTGTATGACACTGTGAACTCTGATTGTTACCTAGCCACGCTGCGTAACAACTTCATGCCGCAACTTACTGCAACAGGATTGCTGATCAAAACCCAGTGGTTTACGCAAGGTGGAGCCAGGAAACACACAGCTAATGTGGTCCTTGATTTTCTGTATGAAAGCTTTGGTCCCAGAGTGATTTATCGTTTTCCTGGACACCATGATTGTGGACAGGTCTGGCCTCCCTACAGCCCAGACACTAATCCATGTGATTTCTTTCTGTGGGGCTTCATGAAGGACATACTGTACTCAAGGAAACCTAGTTCATTAACGGAACTCAGAAACATGATCATCCAGCTGTGCCGCACACTTTCAGAAGACTTGTGCTGTAAGGTGATCACAAACATACAAGTTCGTCTAGAAGAGGTGATGAGCCAGAATGTGAGCCACATCGAACATGTTCTGCGCTAAAAACAACTTTCCATGCTTGTGTCCTTTAGTGTGTATGTGATATGCAACATTTTTGTAAGAAATATAGATTTTGTACAGGATTTAAAAGGGTAAACATTTTGTGCGCCACCCTGTAGTTACAGCAAGGATTCAAAGTGTCTACCATGCATTTTCTGATATGCAACTGCACTTCATGGAATACTAGCTTGCACACATTATAACAAGTCTGCATCAGTGGTTGCTTTAGCAACATTTTACTTCACTGTCAAGCCTTCATGTCAGTCAGTGGATCCCTGCTAACAATTTATTTCAGGTGTCCCCAAAGGAAGAAGTCCAAAAGGTTTAGGCCCAGCAATCTCGCAAGCCATGACACAGGGCCACCATGTCCTAGCTACCTGTTAGGAAAATGTGTTGAGGTGCTGCTGAGACTGTACATTAAAATGTGCCAATGCCCCATCATGTTTAAACTACTTCATGTTAAACCACCAGTGGCACATCTTCTTGGTGACTGTTTATCTGTCGCCGAATGGAATAAGAGCTGCTGAGAGTAGACTCGTACAAAGGCTTTATTACTAACAAATAGTAACAAATACAACAGGTTGAACTTTTGTACTCTGTACTGATACTTGTCTCACTCCCGGACCTTAGCTGATGCTTATTTTGAAATGATTGTGGGGTGACAGTGTCACAGTGTCACCATTTCCTTTAAAAACAACCCAATTATCAGGCGGGAATAGCATCGGTGAAAGTCCGAGTTACAAAACAGTGTTCACATACAGGGTTTACTCAGATATACCAATATTATATTATTATTCATATACAACACCTCCCCCTTCAAACTAAGGTCCAATTTACACCTTAATTGGGCCTAAAAATATGACTTTGCTGCTTGAGGTCTGAGGGACTTCGTCATGCAATGATTGCTGTGAATCATGTAGTGGAATTTCTTCCTGTCTTAAGGACAAACTTTCATTACTAGTTTTTATATCTATGTTTACAGTATTGCTGCTACCACTAGTTTCTGTAGACGTTTGGACTTCTCTTAGAGGTGCTGTCAATGCCTTAAGGCATTGTACACGTGTACACCCAAACCTTACACATTTATATATCCTATATGTCACATAAATAGCAATTGCACTCAACAAAATATACACTATTACAG